TTTTTTTTTTTACATTCCCATATCGAATAATTTGATTGTTAGGAAGGCGTCAACAGAGGTGTTTGGAGATGCAGTGACTTCTGGATCCTTGCTCGCAAATCCGTCATCTCCATGGATCTGGAAGGGTCGTTGGCCCTCTTCATCAGGCCTCAGTCCCTTCAAACTTTCGAAAAATCATGTTCGTCCATTTGAAGAAGCTCGTCAAATTAGAGAAGATCGCCAAGGTCAAGAGCTCGTACAAGATTCCGGTCGCCACAAGAACCTCGATTCCCCCAAAGAAATGGCGGCCGGAAAAAAATCGACGATCCAAAAATCGGTCATGGAGAAGGCGAAGAAGAAGACGAAGAGGCTGAGTGAGGAATATCTTCTGGAGGATGATCTCCTCGATTACTGTCGACGTCGTCTAAAGAAGGTTTCTGGACAGTTGTGATTTGTATCAAAGAACAATATATGTCCACACCAATATATATTGCATGTAGGCAGTATATGTTGTGTATATATGAAGTAATTGTAGCTCAACTGTATCATACAACTGTATTCTTATATATTCAATATATTTTCAGTATATATTGTATTTTCAACTATTTCTTAGTTGTTGTATATGTCAAGTATAAATGATGATATATACTTGGCATTTTCGTAACGTGTATCATCATATATACTTGACATATACTTTCAAATTTGGATTTGTGTATTCAAATTGGGATTGTATATATTCAGTATATTTTCAGTATATGTTGTATTTTCAACTATTTCTTAGTTGTTGTATATGTCAAGTATATATGATGATACACAAATCTCAATTTGAAAATATATGTCAAGTATATATGATGATACATGTTATAAAAATGTCAAGTATATATCATGTTATAATGCTTGTACATTAAACACATTTAACAATTTATCTCTAAATATCATACGTAAAGTAACTGTAGTTCAACTGTGTCATACAACTATTTTTGTATAAGTATATTTTCAGTATATGTTGTCTTTTCAATTATTTCTTTAGCTATTGTACATGCAAATTCCATAAAGTTCATCCCCTTTAATAATTCTTTTATATAATTATCTATGTCCTATACATTCATCATGTATATAAATCAGTTTCAGATGATATATGTACATAATCTGTGATTTAGTTTACTTTTTTTTTTAATTCACATTTGATAAATGCTATATTTTAGGAATAAATCTTTAACATGATTTTTATCTATCTAACTTCATTAATATTCTTTTATATATGGGAAGATTCCTGTAACTGAAAATGAAGAGTCTTTTCTCTCTCCTCCTTATCTACAATGCAGTATTTATATAATTTTTTATTGCCAATTAGGCATAACTGCAAATAAGTTTTGGAATTGATAATTTTACAATTATTTAGCCATCACTGTAGTATATATGTAAATGAGCCAAGTATATATTCAACCTAATGACACTTGGCTGCTAGTCTTCACCCAAACTTTGACTGAACTTATTTGTCTACTAAGTTAGAATAGAATTTATATTCTAATCCCCTGATAAGAGAATTTCTTGATGCTGTTGCAAGTGATGCGCAGCCAGTAGTACAACATAGTCTAGGATGTTTGCTTATTCCATCGATTTCAACGATCAGGAGAGAGGCTCGACTGACGTTCGTTCTTTTTCATGTCTTGGTTCACAGTTTGCAAATTCGCTTTTACACGATCAAAGGCACGGCCTAAGAGCGCATTCTTGTCTCCCTTGGCTGAAAGAGAAATCGAGGTTTTCAGATGCTCGACCAAACAAACGAAGCCAAGCGCAGTGTCGAACATAGTACTCCGAAGAGACAAGGGAAAGGGCGAATCAACCGCTAACATTCGAACTGGCATAGGTTTCCCCAGGGCAACTATCAACTTCCAAGCAAAGCAAAGGATAAAAACGCTATGAAATAGATAGCAACTCTTTGAAGATCGAAAGAATTAACACGCCAAAAGGGCCACCAGCTTTCCCCAAAAAAAGGAGAGATCCGCTGCTTACTGCTCACGGAAACATCCGACCTTATCGTCAAGTCGTCCGTCTATCTTTCTGATCTCATTCGTTTTCCGATCGCATAAAAAGAGAAAAAAAGAAATGTGAGAATGATGAGAC